TTTCAATAAAATTAATAATCTTCAAATATAAATTAAACAAAATATAATTCAAATTGAAAATAAATATAATTATAAAATTTATTATAAAAAAAAAAGTATTATTAAGAAAAATAAGAATTATTTATTTGTTTAGTAATAAATTATAAATAAGCAAATAGATATAAATTTATATTATATTGAAAATTATAGAATAATAGAATTTTTAGTTAATATTTAAGAAGAATTATTAGAAATTCAGTAAAATTTTAAGGATAAAAATATTGTTTTTATAAAATTGCAAAATAAAAATCAAGAAATAAAAGATTGATTATATATTTTAAATTTAATATATATCTGAAGCTAGATATAAGACCTTAAATAATTTTCAATAAATTTATCAATATTATAAAAATAAGATATATTAAGTTAAAGATATTTTACAAATTTGTTGTAATTATAGAGCTATACTTATTGTAATTAAAATTATATCTATTAAATTAAAATAAAACAATATTATTTAAAGATTTTTTCAATACATTGTATATTATCTATAACCAAATAATTTTTTTAATTCATATTTAATAATCTGTTATATTTTAATATAAATTTATTTTTAAAAAATATTAATTCAACTTTTAAAGATTAAGAAAATTTCAAAATATTTATTATTTAAATAAATTATCAAAATTAATTATATACAGTATATATATATTAATAAAATTGATTAGTAATTGCCTATTTACAGTATATAAGTTATCACATCTTCTATCTTAATATTAAACATATAATTCTTTTTATAAAAATTATAAAACAAGTTTTATTCAAATATTAAAAAACCAATTTTTGTTTTATAAAAAATTTTTTATTTTATTTTAAGTAAAATCTTTGATAACAATTTTTATTTTAATTTAATAATTTTTTTTAATAAAATAAATTACTAATTTAAATTATAATAACATCAAACAGAAATTGAAGAGTAATAATTGAAAAGAATAATGTATTAGGGATTAATTAAAATAAGATATTTTCTAGTTTAATTTTCAACTATAAATAAATAATATATAATTGGTTGTGATCCTTGTTCAAGTTGAAACCACTTAAAATAACATGACCTTATATCAATCTTTAAAAGAATATGAATTCTCTTTTAAAAATAAGTACTTTTTTCAATTCTCTTGTCAATTCCAAAAACATTTTCAAAAAATTTTTTTCCTATATAATAATAAAATTTATTCACCTTTCCTAAAAATATCGATATCTTAATCAGTAGAATGAATATATGCTATCACTTGTTCACTCTTTTTTTCAAAGTTCCATAAACTTTCAAGATTAAAAATCCAGAAAAAAAAATGAAAAGAAGCTCTTATTTTCTATATGTTCTCTTTTTTCTCAAGCATTCAATCGCTGAGAGACTCAGATTTTGCCACTTATATAATGATTGTTGGTTGCACTGCGTATTTGAGTGTAGATGGCGGAATTTGTTTTGTATTCGGCTGCAATATCAGTGCAATACTCACTGTAATTGTCAACGAGGATGTCCAACCTACTAATAACATTAAGTTGGTTTCTCCAATATCGCAACTTAAAAATCAATTCTACTACTACGATCCATAAACATAATTAAGCATTTCGTATGGTATGACTTCTACCTTAACTAAATGTTAAGCCTTTTCGATTCCTTTTCCCCACGAAACTTGCGATATCTTTCAAGCGACACGTCACTAAAATTACTATTATTCTTGACTTTTCTGTAATTATATTCTCTGTCGTTGTACTTTCTGCTGGTTCCTTGCTATTTTAAGATCTCTTATATCACTTATCGGTATTGTAAGAAAATGGGTTCCAATCAAATGATTACTGTAGGGTTGTTAAGCAAATACAATTTTGCTATTTTAAGATCTCCTTTATATCACTTATCGGTATTGTAAGAAAATGGTTTCCAATCAAATGATTACTGTAGGGTTGTTAAGCAAATACAATTTTGAATATTAGTAATCTCGAAAATATGAATAATTACTTCAACTACATTGGAACCGAATCGATTTGTAATTAATTTTTCTTTGTATATGAGTTAAATCTTTTGAATTCATTAATTAAATTTGATTAAAATATTGTTTGGGGCAAAGTTTAATTAATATTAAATAATGAAAAATAATATGAAAAATGGTTAATAAACTACTTAACATCTCTAATTAATGAAGCCCTTATATATATAATTACGCAATCAGTAACATTCGATTAGACAGTTCTGATTGATTTCAAATAATTTGAATAAATTGGCGAGCATTTTCGCATGTATCAATAAAAAACTTTTTTGGCTAAACAGTTCTCTCAGGGAAATAATCTGCATATTTTTCTTATATAACATATCAGCGGATGTGCAATGCGTCGGCATAGTTAATTAATTCAACTCATATCAGTAATGATAAAATTCAACGGATAGTGCTAATCTAACGAATAAAACATTTTCAGCGATATCTATTTCAAATATAAGCGATGATAATCTAAATAAAATTAGCCGGAAGGCGCTTTGCAAGTTCATGATTATTATCTCGCATATTAGAATAAAGTTTCCTAATGTTTCTTAGTGCAGTTAATTGAAATGATCATGTCTTTGAATATTTTGAATCAGTTTCAGGTCAAAATTGCTATTTCTGATAATATTATTCAACATGAATTATAAACTAGTTATAAGAAATAATAGGCATATTGTAAACTATTTTATTTTATTTACAGTATATACTTGTTTTTTGAATTTTTAATAAACCAATGTTCTTAATTCTTGTTATCATTGGACTTTGAACAATAACTAGGAAGATGGAAGAATCCAGAGCGTATCTATTATATCTAATACACTAAAATATTTAATACACTTAGTTTTTAATTAATGTATACTGTTTATTATTATATCAACTTAGAAAGAGCTACATAGAAGAATATCAGGATATAATGACACTTTGCATCAACTCAGTAATAGTGGGCGGACAGACATTGCATGTTGAGGTGTACAGAATTATATAGTCCTATGCTATGCCCGGACTAATTATCTAAAATTTTTATAGGATAAATACATATTCCTTTGCTTTTCATATGCTACTGTATGAACTTCAGTTTGTTTATTTTTTGTTTTCAACACATTCCATTTCAATCTTAATAAAGAACTACATTATTTATTGCCAACGCCTAATATGTATGGAGTGTAAAGTCTACTTTGACAAATATAATTCTCGGAAATCGATTCTTGATCACAGGCGTTCTTTGGATCTTTTTTATCCTCTCTTTCAGAGCACCTTCTATGTAAAATGTTCTTGTACAACAATAAAGTATTTCGTATTATTCCCTTTTTTTATTGTACTATTACATGTTAATTATCTTATCAACAATAAATATTCTTGTATGGGATACGCAAGAATATGCGATCTCACCATTTTGATTCTTCGACTAGCACCAGGAAGTGATATAATTCCTTAAAATGCTGGTTAATACCGGTTAATAATAGCCTAAACCGGAGAGTACATGCCCAACTTAGTGTTGAACTCCAATTTTGATCTTTTCTGAAATTTACTATATTTCTTCTTGTCGTGCATTTTTACCAATTCTTGTAATGGAACAAACAATACTATAGGAACAAAAAATACAATCAAGTAGGCGTAATATGGGATTGATCGAAACAATAGAAGCGGGCTCGGCGCTAACGATACAATGGTAAAGATAAATTGTGCAATTATGCTAAAAAAAAACGTAGGAGGCATAAAACACGTAAGATTCAATAAATTCGTAAAGTCCTTGAATGCATCAGTCAAATACCTTAATACAAAGGCCAATACCCAAACTTGGTTATTCTTGAATGGATTGAATCGTCGTAATGATAATGTTCGATTGACAAAGGTAATGGAAATGCATGCTGAAACAGTAAACATTATTTGAAGAATTAACAGGCTATCGGAGCTACCCAAAGAGTATCAAGGGTCGAGTAAATTTTATTTACCTATACTCCATACAAACGTGATCAGCGTACAATTTTGCGCATAAAGAACAATCCACTGTTGCTCACGCGTCCAATGTAACCAGCCATTTTCATTTGAATCAGTGGGTATCGAAGAACCATCAGTAAAATAGTGCAGGCAACTTGATTTGAGCAGATATATGAAAGTTATTAGGAATTGAACAAATAAAAAATGATTGTGTTGTAAATATACATACAAAGCAAATGCACCACAAGACATTATTATCGGAAGCGAGAATCGTAAGATAAAATATAAAATAAAACGAGGTAAACCCTGAAGATGCTCTTTATTCTTAACTATAAAATAAAAAAATGAGTATAAATTTATAGAGATCGCAGTAAGATACCGAAAATTATTGGCAACCACCTGTCATCGTAGTCATGGTATCTGGCAGGTGAGGATTGGCGAGAAAAGAAAGTGCCAACATAGGTGAGATTACACACGTAACCCATAATATTTGATATCCTGTGAATGCCGGTGGCAAAAAGAGACAACATGACAGCAATATTATTAGGGACATGGATAGATATACTCCAATTAAAAAAGCAACCCCCTAAAAATAAATGTTTGTTTTTGGAAATCATTATTTAACAGATGCAAACTTATCCATAAATGAATTAACTTTCTTGACTTACCATTCGTAGTCCACTTATCAGTCTTCTTGCTTCCCGAATGAGATCAGTAAGCGCGTATAAACTTGTATCATAATGCATAAATAATCCGCATGGTAACGTAGCAAATGCTGCGCCCAGTGCCATCGGAGATTGACCTTTGATACCACGATGATGGCATAATCCATTCTTTGTCTGTGCGCGGGTATTTGTTGGCTCCATGGCAACACCAATATCCGCCTATGTTTATAACAATTTACTATTAAAATTTTTTAGAAAATACTACTAATGTTTCTATTGCCACATGAATTCATACCACAGCGAAACAGGGTGTATTTAAGGTATTCAGTGCACTACCAATACAACACACCACCTCCCCATATTCCTGAAATATTTTAATCATCTCTGGTGTATTCTCCGGTGTACATTCAGCAAACAGGGAGACATGAAGTGGGATATCATCTACATTTTGTAGATGATCTCGAATTTCCCCAATTCCACGCGGAAGTCGTGCCTTTATGTCGTGAGACTCCAAATAACCATCGCCAAATGAATTTTCATCGCCGGGCGACGATAAGAGTATACAACTATTCCAACTGATTTCAAGTCCAAGTCTTATAGCATAGGCTGTGCTTCGCACGATGAAACAAATTTAAGTTTGGATTTGGATTTTCAGAAGCATTCAAATTTAAGCAAAATTTGTTATCATTACAAACCTTTACTTTCCCTCTCGGCCGTTGGAGAAAAATAGACAAACCGTATTCCCGCCAATCTCAAATCTTCGATAAAATTACATACATCCTTACCAAGACAATAGGTTCACATTTTAATGTAGATAGTTTAAATGTCTCAAAATAATAATAACAATAACAATAGGTGCTCACAGGCTTGGGTTGGTGGCAGAGAGTAGCCATTGCAAGAAATATTTGACCTTGAATAACATCTTGGTAAAATGACTCCTCGTCATTTAATGTTACGTTTTGATCAAAGACAAAATCATGAAGATTTGCATCCAACATTCCATCATTCAGACGATGTAATCTAACCAATTGTGATATGGAAAGGTCTTCGTCTTCTGTTTTCGTGACCAGTTCAATCTCAGGAGGACTGGGCAATACAATGTAAATGCCTTCGGACTCAATTTTAGTGGTGTTCAAGAATGGAATCTTATTTCCGTTCTCAACACCGATCGGTCGATACGCATATGCGACGCATTGCATGTCATTTACGATGGCATTTTCATAAAAATCGTATATCTTGTTTTCCATCTAAAAAAAAATGTGTTCATTCATCTATACTATTAGATCCCATTCGAGAAAGTCCCGAGATCTAAATACATACCTCTCTACTCATAACCTGTAATCCCTGACCATTCCAATAATCCGAACAGTGATCTAATATTATTTCTAAATGACCGTCGGATAACAACTGATAACTTCCTAATGAATTCTAAATAAATCCAATGATGATCACAAATTTTCGAGAAGACATTCATCAATGATCACATACCTTTTTCAATTTCTTCATAAATTGAAGAAATCATGCTAGGAACTTCCCACTGATCATTCCTTATACGTTCTCTTAATGATGGGTGACATGGCGCGCTCGTATATATCTCTTTTCTCTCAACAAACGGACGGAGTGCGTCATCCGTGAATCCAATTTCCTTACCTAAACGACATAAGCATGCTTTATGCGAATAGTGAGAATTCAATAATTTGCTTATGCTATGTTTAAAAAAAAAACAGGATCTCAAGCATACATTGCCTTGCAGGTTTTGTTTTAACATGGATGTAAAGGCTCGAATGCTTTCTATGTTGATCTACCCGCTTACGTCCCTGCAGGACACCGCAATTTGTATTTAGCAACAAATTGAGTCCTAAGGGCTTCAGGCGACTATAAATATTCCAAGATGATGACGGTTTAACTTTGATACTTGCAAATTCATCATGCGTTCTACTTACGACAAATGTTGATCCCAATCTTGATCCTCAAATCTGACGCGAAATTCTGTACTCGGATCTTCGGCTACGTCAAGTACAATGATATCCCCTTCTTCGTTAGGAAATAATATTTGATCAACCGAAGCAAATGGCTATAATCATATAACACTTTAAGGAAATCCTATGACATGAACACAATCTAGAAACGCATTTCCAATGAACTACACAACATACAGAAGAAATAATGCCTTCACGGTCAAGACAGCAAATCATCGTGGTGCCACCTAATGACTCAAATAAATTTGTCGATCGAACGAGCGATGCACCATCCAATGGGTTGCTAAGATACAAAAACTTTTTCCATAATTCAGCTGCAATTAAATGTTGTGATTAATATATGAATCAGACGAATAAAATGCATCCGTTTATACAGAAAGCAAATCTATAATTGCAAAATAAAACCTCGATCAATATGAACATTCTTTGTGGGTGGTGGAGCCTCGGCATCAAATTCATCCACCTCCTCATCATCCTCATACTCAGTCTTAGAAATTTGAAGAGCCTCGAATAAAACCAATATTGTGGCATTTGCAAAACTACGGGTCACCAACCAAAGAACTGGAAAAGCCAGTGGAATCAATGGAATGACAGAAGTTATCGGAAGAACCATCAATATCTCAAAAGCCTGATCTCGGTGACCTCTCATGAGATATCTTACTAGATTGACAACAAACGATGTTCCGAGTACGATAAAAATAAATTGATGCAGAAAAACTCGTTGTAATACTTCCGCCTGCTTCATTATTATTGTGGCAGGCCGAGTTTTCTCTAACGCGGATCTCAAGCAACTCGCCCAGGGTGTTTCCAAGAGAACGAACTGGTATCTTCCCCTATTATGAATGTGTTGATCCCATAAAGCTTGTGATGACATTTTATCAAAAAATGTTGGCTTAAAGACTTGAGATGATTCCAAATATTTCGGTACCGAATCTTTTCGTTCCAGGAATTTCATCTTACACGGAGCGACATCTCCATATAGCATTTCCACAACGTCTCCTTCGACCAAAAGTGTTGTTGGAAAACTTCGGACAACGCCGTCACGAACGACCTTGGCAATGGTAAGCGATGGGACAAACGGGATTTTTATGTCCTAAGTTCGTGAAGTGAGGTTAGGAATAAAACTTCCATAGAAGGAAACGCACCACATATGTATGATATACCTGTATGGTGTTCATTCCACTTTGTTTTAGTTGCTCGACAATATTTTTCGCCCGCTCGATGACTTCTATTGCGACCAACTTTTTTTCTCTCGTATAAAGAAATCCATTAAGTATCGTAAACAAAAATATTAAAATTGCCTCAATCAAAATGGCATTCAGCCGGAATTGAAATGGATCACTTTTTATCGTTCCGTATATGTAAAATGTGACCAATATAAAAAACGTCGAAATCGTGAGAATGATATCAGGGCGGATCAAGAATTCTCGAATGTCTTAAAAGATGAACGGAATTGTAGAGTCAAATTAGATGAACAAGAAAAAATACAAAAAGTAAATAACAGAATATCACATGCATTTTTTCGTTGGTGAAGGATTGCTATGCTCTGCAAGTATTTTATTTGCCACGGTAACCAATTTCCTGGGATGAGGAGACTTACGTTAACACCATAAACAAAGAAACCAAAAACGGCTCACGATGATCTGAATCATTGACCTACTCTAGTGCTTCGACACTTGTTAATCCCCCTTTCTTTGTTCCGGAAGCAGCACCGTCAACCACTACCAGATCACTGGGCAAATTTGGAACCTCCTCGTCATAAGTATAGCATCGCATATTGCTACCTTTATCCAATTCCAATTCTACCATGTACTCTTCATCCTCCAACACTTCTTCCGACACCTGTTTGCCTAATCGCAGCGGAATCGTGTCCGAAGAATTATTCACATTAGATCTGGAGACAGAGCGATCGGATATGGTGAAAGATTTTGCACTACTTGAAAGTTCTATTTGCTTGGCATTGTGATCATAAGGCATTTGAACAATTGAATCAACAGAAAGCGTTTGAGGCAACACGTTATCATCACACACTCGGTCATTATCTGATAGGTGAGAATTGTCCCCCATGTATAAAGTACAAATTTGTTGTTCAGCTTTTCGCAAAACATGTGAAATTTATACCGTTTATCTGTTGATGTAATTGGTCGGACGTAATTAATTAGAAAGTTAACAAATATGGTAGTATCGATACCGTAGTTTATGCAGGACACTTGATTTTTTTTTTACAGATCTTCAAACCTAATTTTACTGTATAACAAAAAAAAAAATTACTGTATACGGTATATTAAAAGAAAAATGTCATCTTGTGTTGATATCCACTTACACAGTGTATTCCTCGAAAAGGCGGATGGTTTGGAAGGGTTTGTTTAAAAAGTATGTACGAGACGATCGACTAAGACAAATTTCTATCACTAGATATACAGCATGTATTTTTTACGATTTAATTGAAATTAGTTAATACCTGTAGATATAGTTAGCAGATAGAATAAATGAGCTCATATGATTATGCTATACATAATAGCAAAAATTATAGGGTATGAAGCAACAATAAGCTGTATTGGTAATAGTATGACAAAGATTTCATTTCATTTTATATAATATCATATTAAAAAAAATCATAATAATAAAGTTTTATACGTAAAATGGATATATTTGATATATTTTTCGGTTAATCAATTTTAGTTATGCTGAAAGTTTTTATTTGTAAAATCTATCTACTAATAAATAATTTTTTTAGAAAATTTTTTTATTAATCACATTTGTTGAGAAGCAATTAAAAATACAGTATTTAATATTCAAAATTCTTTTCAAGTGATTCATAAAATAAATTTAGTCTTTGAAATATATACAGTAGTATATTGTACATAATTTGAATTTTTATTAACAATTAAATTTGTATCAAATTTTATAGCAATATTCTTTGTAATTTAATGAACAATATTATCTTGTTTAAAGTATTTGACAAATATACAGTAAATATAAAAAATTAAAAAAAATTATTTATCATTAAATCAATTTGCAAAAAGTTAAAGTATTCTGATATTTTCTTGATCTTATTTGATATCATATGCTTCTTGGTTTTATTAAATTTTTTGTTATATGTTATAATCAATTTTTTTTTACTGCGAATAAGCATAAAATGCGAGACTTTATATAATCAAATTTTTCTTTTAAAGTTATAATTTAATTTTATTACAATTTTTAATATACAGAGTATATGTTAATCAACAATCATGTGAGTATATACAGTATAGATGCGACATGAGTGTCACCAGTCTGTTTTTTACGCGTTTATTCATTATCTGTTATACAAATTGTATCAGCCAATCATATTGGGATATAAATTGTTAGACACGTAAATAACCATCGTAAAAGGATTTTCCAACTCATTAGAAAATGACAGAATTACAACGTATACAACGTATACATAAAGCGATCAGAGATTTTTTTGATGAAACACCCGTCGAAGAATGGTCCTATATTCATTTTTTAAAAACATTTAAACCTATCATCAAGTCAAGATTAGATATCACACTTCGAGACGAAAAAGCCACGTGGAAGAAGAGATTTGTGAAGCAATTAGAGAAGATTGCTGAAGATGACACGTATACTGAACAGCAAAGAAATAAGGCAATTCGTTTGAAAGAAAAGGTATTGGCATGTATTTTATTACTATTATTATTTTCAAACAGTCGAAACAGTTCTACACAGCCAAAGGACGGTTCCGCTCCCTCCTGAGGTATGACGGTAATTCCCTCCGTGTAGTTACTGTTGGTGTTATATAGCCAATGGACGGTTCCGCTCCCTCCTGAGGCATGACGGTAGCTCCCTCCATATAACACCTGACTTCTTGTTTTTGAGTGATTTGCATTTTATATCATAATTCGATGGTTATAAACCATATTATAAGTCCCTTTTCGTTTTTAGGACTCATTGTCTGCAGAACTCTTCTGGGATAATATTGAGAAAGAAAAAGAAAGCTTGCGTAGAAAGCTAGAAGTGAAAACCAATATGGTATTTATTATTATTGCGTATAATGGTTGTAATGTTTTATTGACATTTTGCCGTAAACTTTAGGACTTGGTCTGCGAAAATACAGAAATTGAAGCTATAGAGATTTTGGAAACTGCACGTACAGAAAAAAAGAAAAATTTGATTATATAAAGTCTCGCATTTTATGCTTATT